GGGGGGTGGGGGGAAGTAGGGGAGAGCATGACTGGCTAGGTGGTTTTTAAGTATTAGTCACTTAAAATAAATAAACAAAAAGACAAGATGCAAAACAAGCTCCACCCCTCCTCCCCTGAGCGGTCCAGGGGGTCTCCCAGAATCTGTACAGGGGCACGTTACCACTTTTCTTCCAGTGAGGGGGGCTGGTGGGCTCAGCAGCGGTGCTCAGCTCCCCAGTGTGTGGCCAGGCGGTGGGAGGGGCTCACCGGGAACGGGCCCCCTCAGGCCCTGTTGGCTGCTGCTGTTCACAGTCTTCCTCACCACCACCAGGTCCGCCAGCTGAGTCGTGCTGCCCAGGCTGCCCACGCTCCGCTCCCAGCTCTCCACCCTCCTCTTGGCCTTCGGGGGCTGTGGAGTAATGGGGGACACAAGGGTGGGGCCCCCAGATTCAACTTCATCCCTGGCCTCCGAACAGAAGGGTCTTTGCAGTGTCCCCGCTCTGAGCGCCCCTCGAGCTCTCCTTCCCACACTGGGCTTGGCACTGAAGGCCTCCGGCCCTCTGTCTCCTCCTAACACGCTGACGGGGGCTGAGTCATGTCCTGAGCACACGGCCCCCTCCTCCCATCACAACCCTGGTCCCATTGGAGGGGCATTTCCTGGAGTGTGGCCTACAACCTTTTATCTTCCACAAACAGCAACCACACCCGCTGCCCTGGAGTGGATCTGACTCAAGACGGCCCAGGCCAGGGGAGGCCTAACTGCCACGCTGCCAATCTTCAGGGGAGCAGAAAGCCCATCTTCTTCCTGTGGGGCTGCTGGTGGGCAGTTCAAACTGCTGACCCCCCGTGAGAAGTCTGAGGCTTGATCCAGGGTGCCACGGGGCCCCACATTTGGCCCCGGGCACTGGGATGGTCTGCACTCGGATCTCCCTGGCCTCAATCACCTAGTGTCTGAGCTGGGCAGCCTGCTCACCTCGTACAGGATGGTGGTGGGTCGGGGCCGGGCAGTGGGCCGGGGCGGGGCGGGGGCAGCCTCGTCCTCCGAGTCTGAGTCCTCCAACAGGCGCCGTGTCCTTGCTTCCTCCAGCAGGGCCCTGCAGACGGACCCTGGGCTGAGGACATGCCCTGCAGGGGACGGCCCACCTGCCCCACCCCACCCCAGCATGACCCAGGGGGTAGTCCTACAAATCCCCCTACTTTTCTTCCAGGATCTCCTTGTCTGCAGAGGGCAGCTCAGGGACATGGGGCTCGGCCAGTCTGGGGGTCCTTGACTTGGCCTAACTCCCACCTGCCATATGTTCAGGCCAGACACCTGGGCTGCAGCAAAGTGCCCAGGGCAAGGCCACATAGCACTGGGGACCCTGACTTTGATGCCAGGTATCCCTGTGCAGGGGACTCCTGGATAGAATGCGCCCCTCCCAAACACACACTGCTGAGGCCCCCCCCAACCCTGGCCAACAGGGCCCTGCTTGGAAACAGGGTTTTCTCTACTCACATTCACGAGGTCCCTTGAGGTCGGGGGGAGGGGGGGAAGGGAGGGGGCGAGGGGCAGGGGGGCGTCCTCCATGGGATCCCTCTCAAGGCACAAAAGGAGCAGACAGACTCAGGGGCACACATGGGGGACAGACGCCAGGGGTCACCAGCAGACACGAGGAACTCAGGAGCGGTTCGGGGATGGAATCAGCTCAGCCAAGATCCTGCTTTGGGCTCCCAGCCCCCAGAATGGAGGAGAAATGCCTCTAGTCTCCTCGGGTCTTAAACGTGTGTGAGCAGCTACCTAAGGTGCAAACGCCGGTCTCTCCCCGTGAGCAGGAAAGAAGAGGGATGGGGATGAAAGGGCAGGAAGCAACGGGCCCACGGACTGGGGGACACCAGTCCCCACGACCCTGCGACCAGCAGAACGAGATGGTGCCCGGCTCCCCCACCCACTGCTCCGACAAGGATGCCATTAGAAGGAAGGTCCTGGATCCCAAACCAACCTGTTACTGAATCCATTCCAACTCACAGTGACCCTGTAGGACAGGACAGGACTGCCCACGTGGGTCTGAGGCTGAAACTTTACAGGAAGAGAGAGGCTTCCCACTC